AAAGAGAGAAAGAAAGAAAGAAAGAAAGAAAGAAAGGAAGGAAGGAAGGAAGGAAGGAAGGAAGGAAGGAAGGAAGGAAGGAAGGAAGGAAAGGGAAGGAAGGAAGGAAAGGGAAGGAAGGAAGCCAGCCAGGTACCAGTGGCTCACATCTATAATCCTAGCTATTCAGGAGGCTGTTATGTAGAACTCAAGTTCAAAGGCAGCCAAGGCAGATAAATTGGTAAGCCTGTCTTCAATTAAGTAGCAAACAATGGGAACTGGAAGCATGGCTCAATTGGGAGAGTGCCAACCTTGAGCAAAACAAAACAAAACTGAGCCCTGAATTCAAGCCTTGTACTAGCACACACAAAGAAAGAGGGGAAGGAATTACTACAGTGCCAAAGTGAAATTAATATAATGTTGACTACACTTGAATTATTACATAGGTACAGTTGTACATATTCCATATGTACACGTGTGCATGTGTGTGTGTTTAGTTAAATTCCTGGGACCTAGATACGATTTGGAATTTGGATCTTTTTAATATTTTGAAAAGACTCCTTGATACCTTTTTCACTGACTTACTGTAATTGTGTATCTTTATGGGGTACAGTATGATATTTCAAGGTAATTGGTATCACATCATCTTAAGCATTCATCATTTCTTTGGCCAGGGACATTCAAAATCTTCGTTACTGGCTATTTTGGAATATGCAATTAGGTTTTTCAATGTTTTAGAAAATGAAGCCTAGAGTGATAGTTGTAGCACCTGGTAGGCTAAGGCAGGAAGATTGTGACTTCAAAGCCAGGCTGGGTTGCACAGGCTGGGTTGCCAGACTGTGACTAAAAGAGAGGGTGGGGAGAAATGGAGAGGAAGGAAGGAAGGAAGGAAGAGAGGGAGGAAGGGAGGGAGAGAGAGAGGGAGAGAGGGAGGGAAAGAGGGAGAGGGGAAGGGAGGGAAGGAAGGAAGGAAGGAAGGAAGAGAGGGAGGAAGGGAGGGAGAGAGAGAGGGAGAGAGGGAGGGAAAGAGGGAGAGGGGAAGGGAGGGAAGAGAGAAGGGGGGAAGGAAAGGAGGGAGGGAGGGAGGAAATGAATACCAGACTCATAAAGTGTTGCTTGCCCACCCAAGTAACCCGAGTAACTAAAAACATTAATGCCTGACCCTGAAGCAAATGGATATTCATATCAATGAGATAAATAGTATAATAACAGTGCTTGCCCATGTAGTTTGCAGTGACGTGGAGATGATGGGATGGCAGGGCAGGAACTGAGACCAGTACATGCTTATGGACGTGGTCTGGAATGTGCTTCCTGGTGGGTACACACAAGGGAGGCAGTGTGGCCTCCTTCCGCAGGAGACCAGGAGTCTCGGAAAGGAAGGAGGTGGCTTCAATCCCAAGATACGAACCCAAGACTGACTAGACAACAATTTTTAACATTACTTTCAAGGCTCATGTTTTCTAAATTCCAGTGGTTCCTGCATTTTGTTCTATAATATCAGCATGGGAATTTTAAATTTGATTGGAAAAAAAGACATTTCAAGTTTACACTCTGGAGAAAACTGGTCACACAGAAAGGCTCCTCCTCTAACGATGGAGACTGAGGCGGGCAGTGGAGGGGGGAATCTTCATGTGGTGGTGATGGTGGGGCCCAGACCCTCCTCTCAGGGCCTGTAACCTCTCCATGTCTTAGACACCTGGCTTCCAGTAGCTCCTGTGACCCCCATGCTGGCCCATTTATTAAATGAGGAAGAATATATCCTGAGGACTCCATCACCCAGGCCTCCCTCTGGGATCCCAGGACCCGCAGGGAGCTACCAGTGTCAAATCTTTCCCTTTCTCTTATTCTTCTGCATGACAACTGAAGGCACACTTTGCTCTCCAGGGCCAGCTCCTGGGAAGAACTGACTTGCTTCAAGGCAAATCAAGGAGGAAAACTACACAGGGCAGAGAAAGCAGGACTGGGAGGACATAGTCCTATGGACTGGGTGAGTGAAGGAATAGAGCTGTTTCCCTTTGTGTCATATTCAGACTTTTCTTCCACATGAGGTAAGTAGAATCGGTCACACCTCTGAGCCACTCAGAGATGCTGGGACACCAAGCTAAAGGAATCATCCTGCTCCTGGGGACTTCTTCAGGGTCAACCCAGAGAAGAGGGGAAGGTGGGAGGAGAGGAGCAGCCACAGTGCTGTCTCCTGAATCCTCCACTCCTGATCCCTGCTCCCCCTTCATTTCCCCATTGCCGTCCTCTGGTGTCCTCTCCCTGGCCCTACCTTTGGACTAGCTCCACCAGAGGGGACAGTGAACACCTGGGCCATGACTGTAAACAAAGGTCAGATGGGAAGCCCCACAGATAAGGGTTTAGGGAACACCTCTTGTTCCCTCATGGGGCTCCCCTTCTGCTTTTCTGACTCCTCTGAAGGGTGACTCGCCTTGGAGCTAAGCATTGAACAGAACTCAGTCAGAGAAGAAGATGTGACTACCTGGGAAGGCCTCAAAGAATTCTGGTTCCATGGGTCCAGCGGTGCAATCGCTGAGAGGTTTGCCTTCTCGTCTCGGGCGGTGTCCAGGCTGTAGGAAGAAAGGACACATCATGAACGCATCATGTGAGGCAGGTCCAGCCACAGACTTCTTGCGCCTCGGGGTGTTCACATCCGCTCTATGAGATGAGGACCCCTGCTGGCTCCTGTTTCCCTGCAGAAGGCATGACCACAGTGTCCAAAGACAATAATGAAAGAGCCAGACTTGAATTCAACTCCTTCTGATTGAAATCCCCTGATTTCAACGACTATACTCTGCTTCTCCAAATATACAAAAAGTAATTACTCACATCTGCATGTGTATAGTAAAGAACTCTCTCTTTCCAAAAGGTGTACAGGACCCGTTTCCCAAGTCACTATCATAGAACATTCATTAGTGTGCCTGTGTTTCCCCAAACCCTGAATCTTCCTTCAGCAGGATCCTTTCTTCCACCAGGGCCTCGAAACAGACCCTGTCCCCTGCTCTGCACTGCCCCTTTCTTCTGTGGCCCTGCCCTAATGGTCAGCTCATCTTGCTTCTAATCCCTTCAGGAGTAGAAAAACTTTTTCCTGCCACAGTCCATTTGTATACTTCTAACATCATTTTTGGACTACACAATGATCAATACAGGCAGAGCAGTTACAGGCAGCAAACAACAATGCATGTCTGTCCTGTTTACGCAAAAATGAGTTTGCAGGCCCTCTATGGCCCATAGGTCAGAAGTTCCCCACCCTTGATTATAAATAGTAGTGCAATTTACAAAACTGACTGAGAGAAATGTGGGGAGCAGGGCAGGTGTGGGGGCAGGGGAGAGGCAATCCAGCTGTGGCAAAAGGCAACAAGTCCATAATAATAGGTCTAATGGCTGAGAAGCAGAATTTATTGGGGAATTCAAAAAGAATGACCAATAAAATGATCAATGAACAGGAGGAATAGACGTCCTCTTGAATGAATTCTGAGAAACAAAAAACTGAATGAAATAAAAAAGATGATGGAGGAGATGAAGAGGAGTTCAGTTGAGATAGAGGATCTTGAAAAAAATAACATTAAAATTCTGGAAAAGATTAACTCAGTAAGTCAAATAGACTCAGTCTTGGAACCGCTGCGGAGAGCAGAGTCTAAGGACTCTGCTTGCCGGGGATGGGGGTGGAGGGAAGCTGGGCAGATTCTGCCAGGAAGCAAGGCAGGTTTTAGCCAGGAGGTCCCAAGTCCCTCCTGCCCCAGGAGACACCCCAGGCCCTGTCTCAGGCTCCACCCCTGTGATCCACTGGGATCACAAATACAGCCAGGGCCTTCCACAGGCAAGGGTGGAGGGTGGAATGTCTTCACTGCCCTGGCTGCTCCCTTCTCCCCACCCCATCACACGAAAGCAGGAAATGTAGGTTAATACTGAGAGGTGTATTTTGAAAACTAGCACATTGGCCAGACTTTAAATGACCAAATGCCGCCATGTCTGGCAAGCCGTGGACAGCACATCATGTCTGCAGTCAAGTTTCCAGAGTTTTAAAGAATAATCACCAATGCCCAGCTACCCTGGCAATGTGCTCCAGACATGGCCAAGCACCCTCCCCTGCAGGTCTCTAGTCCACACGAAGTAGCACACAGGCAAATAAGAAACCATGAGTGAGTAACTGGGCATAGCAGACCACCCTTCAACACAGGAGGAGAAGCAGCCTGGGGGAAGAGACCCAGGAGGCCGGCGCAATACGGCTTGGGCATGCATGGAGCCCCGTCTGAAGCAGGAGTGTGTAGACCTGCGTGTGCATGTGTATGTGTGCGCATGTATTCTGTTGGCGTATAAGTGAGGTTTAGATCTTCCCCAGATACCATAATTTAAATGTAATTATTGACCATTTAACACCAAACACCCAGTAACACTTGCTCTGGCAATTCAGGCTTCGTCTATTACCACAGCACATCACCAGCATCTGAGAACGGGACCCAGGCCTCCTGCTCCCCTGGCATCCCACAGCTCCTGCGGCTCCGGTGTTCCCAATGTCTGCTCCGTCCTCACTGCCCTGCACCTCCCACCCACCCTAGAGAAGCCTGCTAGGGCAGGGTCCTAACTCCATCCATCCACCAAAGTAGCTCAG